AAAGAAAGTAACAAAAATATGAACCATACATGATGTTTCAGTACTTAAAATAAGTGCATTTATGCAGGGCTTTATTTTATTAATCTCATGGCTTGCTGTAGGCAAAATCGTTATAATGGAAGAAAGTGGACAATAAACAAGAAAAAAAAGATGGGTTCAGTGTGTGAATATGTAACAGAAAAAATAAAGGCTATGAATAATCAGAAAAACAGCAATATTAAAAAAACTAAAGCTACTCTCTAAGCCTTACTCTTACAAAACCCTCTTTTTATAAAGGGAACATACCAAGAATTTTATTTATTTATTTACTTACTTTAAACTATTCTAAATGCTATTAACTATAGAACAAACATCCATGTGTTGTTTGTGGAAACCAAGTGAAAGAATGCAAAGCAAATATGTAAGTAAACTAATAACCCGTGTTTCTTCAATTACTGTTTTGTGGAAACAAGCAGAGTGATTTAATATCAGTTTGTAAACATCTTACCCAAACTGCATTTCCAGTTGATCATCTGCATGCAGATCAGTTTAAATTAAGCACATGCAAAACCAAGCCAAAATTCAAAGGAAAAAGCCCTCAAAGATTCAATAAGAAGGGATGGAAAAGGATGAAGAAAATCAAGGAAAAAATAAAAACAATTGTTCAAACTCTTCCTTGCTAAACAATGTTAGAAAACTGTCAACCAGAGAAAGATGCAAAAAAAACCAAACAAACAAACAAACAAAAAAAATACTCATCTTGTATAAACTCACTTGAGAATTGATAATGAAAGATTTTAAACAAGACTGTCTGCCAAGAAGAGAAGTGGAAGTCCCAGCTGCAGTTAAATATATTGACTACTCCTCCTCTGAAAGCAGCAGAGCCAAAGCTCCTCTTTGATGTCTCCCAAAACTTCCCCTTTGCTGTGGCTCTTCCAGTGGAGAGCACCTGGCTCAAAGCAGGCTGAATTTGAAACTATTGGGGGGAGGTGGGGGAGGTTTTTAGGGCTCACAGCTGTTTCATTCAGGTGCTTGCATAAAAAGGATCTGTTTGAGGAAAGAAGGAGTGCCCCAGGTGAGGATCTCCTTTCCTATTGCCAGGGAACTCAGAGAGTGAAAAAAGGGCAACAATTGCTCTCAGCTTATTATTACTAGCAATTACCAAGAGAGAGCGTATTACAGTGCCCATTGCTGGCCTCACTCCTGTGAAGGAGGGTAAAACACAGGAGAATCTGCTTTTCAAATATCGAGGTTTTTATCTTTGATGAACAAACCATGCAAACTGTAGATTGTAGTCAGGTATCCCCAGCAGCAGACCTGCTTTCCTGGGACAGTTACAGCATGCATGAGACTGAGCACATCCATCCTTTACTGAAATATTTGTATTGCTCCCTAGCCAGTTTTCAGGTTTCTGAGTTCTTCTACCCAACAGATATTGCTCAAGCAACCATTCAGCTTTCCTATTAGGATACTCCAAGGATGGAGAATTTCTAGGGCATGATGAGGTACCTTATAAAAGGACAAAGCAGCTGAGTAATTTGTTTTTACCACTTCCTCTACTTTTACCACATCTCCCTTACTCTGTCCTCTCTCCTGAGGTGCACAGCCCCAAAAGCTGGTGCTCTGAATCCAAGGAGAAGCTGCTGCCCTTGGAGATGCCCTTCAGCATGTGGCATGGCCCTGGTGGCTGGACTGTCCAGCTGCTCCCCTGCAGGGTGCTTGCTGTGTCCCACAGCTCATGGGAGGAATCCAGGTTCTTCTTTGCCCTCTACCTCCTACTGGAAACCTCCCAAGGGTTATTAGATTCTGTAAGAGGTGACCTTTAAAAGTCAGCACTGCAATTAAGCAATCTGGGCAGCTCTGGGCCAGCAGCTCAGCTCGTCCAGGAGAGGCAGGAAGCAGACAGTTCACTCCTGACTAATGTCATTACAGAAGGACAGGAGGGGCACCCAGACACTCTAATTAAACGGCAGCAGATCTGCTCAGCAGGCTGCTATGATTGAGTGCAAAGCAGAGAGACAGTGCAAGACATGACAGAATCCCTGGGCTTTGTCCAGTTATGTGTCACAGCCCTTCCTGGGGGTTTGATGGCAGCACTTTCTCATACAGCTGGCACAAGGAAGGGAAGGTGTCCAAACAAATGGGCATCCATCCCTGCCAATGCTCTGGTCTGAAGGCCTCTGTCCTAACTGACCTTATCAAAATTAATGCATTAAAGCACTTGCAGAATGGAAGAGAAGGCAGTGTGGTGAGGGGATTGCCTTCTCTAGCTGTGTGAGACTCGCTGCTCTGCTTTCAGAAATTTCTGCATGTCAGAAACAGCCCTGCATGCCATGGAGCCCCTGAAGATGAGAGGAGTCAGTGGCTCAAGCCTGACACTGCTTCTTTCCCATAGCTCAGGAGCCTCTGGTCAGAGTTAAATGGTCACTTATTTCTCTCCCTGTCCTCTCTACTTTACATATGGAATCAAACAGCAAAATAGGAACCCTGCAAAAAAGTGAACCTTGCAATTCTGTTGGAGTGTTTGCTTTTTCTGGTGTGTCAGATGGTTGGAGTTGTGGACTGGCTGCTTTGTGCATGTCAGTGTTTGTTGTCCTTTCCACTGGGCTTCTACTGACATTTCTTGCTTCTTTCTCTCTCTCCTGCTCACAGCAAATTGCCTCTGGTTCCACGCAGGCCTTTTCTGTTATCAAATGAAAAAGCTCAGACTTAAAATTAACTACTTTTTACTTGTGTCAAATAGGGCAGGCCTAAATTTGGCTTTTATTTAGGCTGGTAAACTATTCACTCTGCAGTACGAATGCAAGTCAAAGCTGGTAGTTGCCGATTCTTTTGGCCCCTCATTTCTCTCACCTCTTACTCAGAGAAGCAAAGTTTTCTGAACAGCTACCTGTGAAAGAACCACAGGCTCCACATTTACTCACAGAGAGCCTTGGGCTGCCCCTAAGCTTCCTACAGTATGCCAAAAGGACCCTTTTGCATTCTCAAGGAACCCCAATATCCTTCACGTTATTGAAAGTTAAATATACTCTTAAATGTGGGCATGAGCTCTTTGCAACTCTGCTCCAGGGACAGAGGTGGGATAGATTTTTATTAATACAGATTATAATCCAATGCAGGAACCTAATCTATCAACTAGGCAAAAAAGTCTTGGAGAAATTTCCCTTGTGAGGCCAAAATAGCAAATAGATCCCTAACATATCTTAGATAGCAGCCTAAAATTCCCAGTTTTCTTGCATTTACTTGATTGTGCAGGCGGCCCAAATATATGTTTCATGTCTGCTAAATAAAATGGGTGCAAAGCTTGGGAGCCAATTCATTTTGACTGAAGAACCTTGTTCAAAATAATTTAAAACTTCATAATGATTTCCCAGCTAAGGCTATGGAGTGACTCTCTTACTTGTCTTTTTTTTGGGGGGGTACTGCCAGTAGAATTTGCAGCTGAAAAATATACTTCTTTCACTTGTAGAAAAACATTGTTAGCATTATTACCTCTGAGGAAACAAAAACCTCTAAACACTGTGGTACTTGCTCCTGATTTAATTCTGTGGTTTGCACATCTGCTTTTCTGTCTCATATAATATACTCTTGTTCATCTACTTTCATATTTATGCATAAAACTTCTAATTACTTTAAGTGGAAGCTGTAGGAATAATTACATATATTGATATAAAATCTACAATGAACATCTAAACTGGCACAGATGAAGCAGAACTCGCAAAGCTAGTAGGGGCTGTACCTCTTCTTGGAAATAATAAAAATGACAGAGTTAAAGTTATAAACAGAGATTGAGGGCCAAAATTGTTACTAAGTGCATGTTTCTAGAGCTGCAAAAAAGTGCCAGGAAAATTGTTGCTTCAGGAAAATCTGATTAGGTCCCTATTTGCATCTGAAAATCTTCAATATATTTATGCTTATGATAAATGAGAATTTTCAACTGAGGCTATTGTTGGAATTGGGCCTTTGAATAAAACCTAACCTCACTGAAGTATTGGGGAAATCTTTCAAATGCCTTTTAATGATTTCCTAATCTTTTAGGTTGGCGTCATCCAAAATTTTGACAACCATAGACCAAAAGATATTGTAGGAATTTGCTCAGATTGGGCTTTTGGTGACAAATACACTTTATGGCCTTACAGAGCAGTGGAAAGATCATTTTGCCAGGGGTAGGTAGAAAAGGCCCATGATTTGCACAGCCCTGCACCAAGCCTATGGAGTGACCAGTTACTTCTACTCTTTTTATGGTACTTTACTGACCAAACGAGGGAGAAAAACCCCCATAATCACATCAATTCAAGTCTTACTGGAGAAAAACATAAGGAAGTTTATCTACTGCCTAATCTTTTCAAATGGAATGAAAGTAAATTTAATTTGACATAAGTCTTAGCCTTGTACTCTTGTGTGGGTGGATCACAGCTGATTTGACTCTGCTGGAGAATCAAGACTCAGATACAGAAATCTAAAGACCTGTGGGAAATATGGCCAACACTGTTTGGATGAGTAAGAGGAAAGAAAGGGTATGAGAACATAGTTGCTAGGAACTAGCTCAAACCTTAGTTAGCAGAGAAGTTTTCATAATTTCTTATCGAGTGGAAAAAGAAGGTCCTTCTGAAAAGGGCAGAAGAAATATAGATCAGACAGAATAAAGGGGAAGCTTGCCATGAAATTTTACCTAAATTTGAAGTATTTCAGGTTTTCTTTCACAAAATGGGAGAGCTCACTGAGAGGGAAATAGCCTAAAATGGCAACATTTTAATGAAAAAGTTCCAATCAAATCCCTACTGGCAAGGGCAATATAATGGTAACAAAACTCGTTTTTCTTTACACACTTTTTCTACTTCCCTTATAGAATTTCAACTACCCTGCCTAACCCCTTCTCCCCAGGCTGTGATTTCACTAAACCAGTGTTTTTTAGCGTGGCCCATTTGGCACAGATTCCTGAGTGCCACCACTGTGGATTAATTCATTAATTGCCTGTAGTGGCTTACAGCACAGCCATCTGCCATTCATAAGACACTCAGGTCATGGCCTGTGGCAAGAGAGCTTCAGTCTGGTGGGGCAAAAAACAGCTGAATATACTCATAGCCAGCAGTAATTGTCCATGTTTCCTTAGCTGTGTGGCTATGGGTGTCTGTGGGATGATGTTGTATTCATCTGTTAGGCCATGTGCTTTCTTTAGTAATTAGCTTGAAGATCTGCAGGAATGAATAAATGAGGGTTTTGGCTTAGTGAGAATGCCACAGGTAAGCATTTGGAGTGATGCCTTGGACTAAAAGTGGACACTTGTGAAGTGTCTGCTTCTAAGAGAGTGCCAGCAGGATCCACAGCAAGTGCCTGAACCCTTCAGCAGTTTCTGGGGAGTGGCTGGGATGCTCCCCAGCAGCACCATCCAGACACTTGTGGAAGGGTCAGATATACAGGACAGTAATTAAAATTAGGGGGAAAACATTTTTGAGGAGTTCTCCATCCAAGAAGTGAAAACTTGGCCTAGCAGTCCTTTTCCCAATGATTTTTGAAGTGTTGTAGTTTAGCCAGGTTTCACAGGAGAAAGACCAGGAGGCAGCCTATCCACACAAGAGCTGTTGACATATAGCAGTTGTACTTTAGTTTACATGCAAGATGATTTTCCAGGCACAGACAAGCTTTTCCAAGCCATGAACAGCTTAGGAAGAACTTGAAAAATCAGTGAAATATTTGCAAGAACCCTCACACAGAAGACTTAGGAGAGATGAGAAGCTCTCTCTTTAGGACACCCCACTCTACAATTCAGGAACTTAAGCTAAGCCTCCTTGTTTTTAGCTATTGAAAGCATGGGCATTTCAGTCTTAACTTCTTTCTTGTATGGTTGGGTCTGCTGCCCATATCAATTTGAGAAGATCACTTCTCTCTGCATCTAAACAACTCCCTGGGGCTGAACCTTCAACCTACACAAAGAAAAATTTTGATGACTCCAGTAGGTTGTGCCTCAGGGTGCATTGAAGAAAAGAAGAATTCAGCACAAAAGTCGTGCCAGAAATATACCCAGCTTCATTGAGCAATGGCAGGGCACTTCCCAGCTGCTGAACAATTTAACAGCCCAATCCAAAATAGCCTCCTGATGCTGTTTCACTAGGAATAGTTTCAGTGGCATGTGAGTTTTCTTCCCTTTCATTGTCAGCTTGATTTCCATGAATATTTTTCTTTTCTTCGAGCACGCAGCTCTCTGTCTCAGTGGTTTATCTGATCCTAGTTTGCACTGGGCCTGCTGCTTCTTTGCTCGTCCTGGTCTTATCTGCCCAAGTAATGCCTGACATATCTTTATATGCTGCACTTTATCTGCTTAAAATGGCAGTACATTGTTTGCCTCTTTTCTGGCCAGCCCATGCTCATGGCTTTAGAGCAGTGAATTATTCAGCTCTTTTTGCCACTACTCTTGGGCTAAACCCTGAAGAATGGCAGGGAAGGGAATTCAGAGAATGGGGTGGAATAACAAAATTCCTGCTTGAGCTCTGATCCTGATGGCAATGGTGAGAGCAGGAGTTGCTGCCTTCACTGCTCATGCTCCAGGACAGCAGGTGGGGCAGACAGAGAGGAGCAGAGCAGTGCTGGGTTTTACTGTCCCCCCCTAGGGCTCCATCACATCTGGATGAGCAGGTGGTGCCTCAGCCCTCCAGGTGCTCTTCCATCTAAAGATAAAGCCTCCAGGGCAGGACAGTACTTGTGAGTAGGTTTAAAGACCATGTCTCTTCCTCTATACAAAACCAAAACAGTAAAGAAGGGATTTAAGACTAGTTTAAAAAATAGCCATTGCTCCTGTAAAAAAGGTCAGCCAAGCTTTCAGCTTTGGTTGAGCTCAGCTGGAGCTAAAGGGTTCATCCCACCCACAGCAGAGTCATTTGTGAGACCACAATGCTCATCTTTATCTCCTGGGGAGGCTGTACCAGGATGCATCAGGAAAGTTTAAAATGCCATCTAAATTTGCTTCCTCTTTTAAAAGCAGTAGAGAAGCAAGAGTTATAGACTATTCTTGCAGTCTCTAAACAACTTCTAAAGGTACATTTGTGAAAGCATTGTTGCAGCATCCAAGTGATATTTATATTTCTAAAACACTTCTGCTTTGTCAGCATCAGTCTATCTGCAGTGATAATCCGTTTATACCAACAGCAATAGCATTACACACAAGCTCCAGATGAAACTGAGGAATGGCTAGGGAAACTAAAGACCAAAATTTTCAACAGCTGCTTGGAGACTGAAAGACAGTCTGCAAAAAATTTTCTAGAAATGCCCTAGTGTAAGAGAAATCTCCAGGTGTAGGAACAACAAACCAAACAACAACAAAACCAATGAAAACAAACAAACACATTAAGAACCAAGCAAACAAAAACCCACAACAAACCAGTTTTGGGGAAAGAGAATCTTTTGAATCAGGAGAATTTAATTAATTCCAGATAGAGTTCATCCCCACACACAAGTGAATCAGTATGGCTGGATGGGTGCACTTGGAAAGCTACAGAGTGGGGAGTGACAAGAGACTTGGTGGCAGGAATGGATGGGATTACAGCTCAACACCATTGAAGTACTAGTGGGCATCATGCTGGCTACCTCCCTGTTCTGCTAGGCACACAAATAGTGCTGAAAAGGTTAGCAAAGCAAAATGTAAAGCACAATGAAGCAAGGAATGTAAACCATCCTCTTGGACTGGTTCCCTAGTCACTGCATCAGCTTTCATTGTGAGCAATTGGAGGTTTTTTTACTTGTTAAATTGTGGAGTCCCAGGGCTGTGTTTCTTCACGTCTCCTGCGATGTCATTGTGAGCAGCTAAGTAAAGGCAGATTGCTGCAGCCACTCTGGGCACTCTGCAGGGCAGTAACAGGAGAAAGAAATGTATACTATTCCAGACAGAGTGGAATTGTTTATGTGCTCTCTGCTCACTCTGAAACGAGCACTGGGTGAAACTGAGGAAGTGTTCTTAAAACAAAGCATTAGAAGGAAAACATTGCCATGAGAGGTTTATCTCGCTGGCCTGAGAAAATAATAAAAGCTAATATCATCATAATTGCAAACTTCCTTTGAGCTGAATGATCTTTGAGCCCCTGACACTGCTATCCACTCTGGTGGTGTGTATCTACCAAGCTTCAGGATGGAGGGGAGGACCCTTGAAGGGAAAGATCCCCTTGCAAAACTGCTGTGGGATCTTTAAAGTCCCCCTGGAACAAACAGGAACTTGCTGTTTTCAGCCTCATGTAAAAGGAATGAAGAAAATCCCATCACTAAGGTCACTTCAAAGTGGATAAACCACTGCATGAGATAATGGCTGAAAGAACCCTGAATATATGGGTTGTTATATTTCTTATCTGTGTAATTTCTATGGCCAAGAGACTCTCACACATATATCACCTCAGATTTTTGGGGTTTAACTCATTATTCAGCATGGAGAAATGTAGAAAAGTTCCCCCTTAATGCAGACTTTTAACTAAGTACAGCTAATTACTCAGCTGAGACCAGAAGAGCACTCTGGGGAGGCAGGGCCAGGTCTCCTGGCAGCTGTGATGAGCATCATAAACTAAGTTATGTTAATCCTCCAAGTTTCAGACTTGAGATAAGTCAGAGGTTTTACAGCACCCATTATCTACTACTGTGGCTTTTATTTTGTTTGAAGCCACACAATGTTTATTAGCTGAATACCCTTAAGCATTGAGATTGGAAGCAGAAATTTACCATTTAAATTTAGATCATACTTTCCCCCTGTCACACACCCACACATAATTTTAAAGTTTACTCTGAACAGTTCCCAGGATTGTGTGTCCAGATTCCAAGCAGAAGGCTAATAATAATCCCTACATTATTATAGACACCAAATGGGTGCTCATAAAACCATAGTTGCAGCCAGAGATAGGAGATAGTTGTTTATCAAAACAATGAATTAATTTAAATTCATTTAGTGCTGTCACTACACTGGGAACCAAGCACAGCACTCTGTAGTGCACTGACTGGACCACTTAGCAGTATTTATCTTTGCCCATTATAAATGATCTTGTAGGAAATCACCGCTTCCAGGATCTGGGATTAATTATCTTCCTCCTGACAGAGGTTGTATGGGATGAGCAGTGCTGTGAGCCCTGGCAGATCACCAGTTAGGCTTCAGACATAAACAGGCTTTGCTCAATGGTGATTTAGGATGAGTTGCTCTCCACCCACACCTGTTCCTCCAACCTGCTCCACAAAAGAAAAGTGATGCTGGGGTGATACTCTGAGATACCATTAGGTGCTACCAATTCCATCTCCCCCGGGGTCACTTTTCTGCCTCCAGGAACCATAATCTCTACAGCACTTAGGAAACCTTTGTTCAGACTGAGCTTTAGTCTTCAGCCAATAATTTCTACACTTTGTAACACATTTATTTTTATCGTGAGAAAGATGTGGTCCTCAGTGTTTGCCTTCAATTTCACTTCAGTTGTTGATCAAAGTGTTTCTATCATTCTCTTTTATCATCCTGCAGCACTGCAAACCCTACTGTGGAAATACCTCTTAAAGAGCTTCTCTGCTTATCCTACTGTGTCTCTTAATTCTCCAGGTATAATGGCAAAGCTGTTTGCTCTTAAAAAAATTAAATTGCTGGTACAAACAAAAGTTCAAGATTCCAGGTGGCTAGCAAATAACAGGAGCAGGTGTCTTTACAACACAGAGAAAAGGAGAGCAGGTAAAAAAAAAGGCATAGTTAAAATTTGAGAATAATAGCTGATTTTGAAAAAGATGGGTCCCCCTAAATATTGTGTTGTGCCCTGTGTTAAAAAGACGTAACATTTATCAAGGCTTATGTCAGCAGACTCATTAAAAAAAAAAATAAAAAAGAGGATCATTAAAAATCCATGAGTCAGTTTTCAATGTATTTTGTTGCCTTAATTCCTCATCTTCCTGGGACACAGGCACCTTCCAGGCATGCATCCATCAACTGATTCAATCATCAGTCACCAATCAATAGGGCTGCTACAAACTTCTGGTGTTCACCTAAGCTCCACTGTCACAGAAAGATGGAAATGACACAGGACATA